AAGATTCTCATTACGAAATGACGTCACTTATGATGCAATGCTATATCCATTATTCAACTGTTTACAAACCAAAAGTCGAGATTTAGAGTAAGAATTAGAAAAGGGAGGACAGTATCTAGCTTCACTAAACACATGAGAACCCAGTGAATCACAACGAGTATAAGTAACAAACGATTTGCTTTGAGAGCGGTCACATATGGTGAGTTAACCTAATTCACCTTACAGTTTTATAACAGGAATTACTTACTGATTTCAAGCATTCTAAAGACTACAACATCAATTTTCATTTCGTTAATAATAACATATAAGTTACCTACCGCCAAACTTTAAATTCCGTGCAAAAAAACATAAGACGTTATCTTAATTCTGATTGGTTCACTCAAGATTGTTTTCAGTGTATTGTGCTTCTGACTAGATAGGTGAGACTTGTACAATATATTTTAAAATTTTTTACATAACTAATATTACTAAAAACTTACTCCATTTTTAATGCATATTTGCTTACCTCGAACATTGGATACAAAGTAAACAGGAACTGTACGTCCATTTTGTGAGTGATGTTCATTTAACAAACGAGAAAGACCACATAAAGCACAAAAACGTGATTTGTTCAAATTCGAAAGATTAGATCGACCATTAGTGATCATACAACTGCTAGGATTTGAATGTTTATGATTGATATATGCAAGTAAAGGACCAGTAGCCATAATACATTGAAGTACAGAGTTAAGATAACATGTATTCCCAGAGTTACCAAACCCCAAAGCTCTTCTTGGTATACAATGAATACCGGTCTGACATAAATGTTCAAGTTCATCATCGGAACATAGGAGTTTATTTTCAAGAGAACCTGGAAGTTGAATACAAGAACCATTGAAATTTTACATGTTACACACACAGTAGATCATTAATTCCCTTTAAACACTAATTAAACTTCTATTACCAATCTTAATAAAAAATTATTCGAAATAAGAAGAGACTATTCATTCACTTTTACCCCACTAATAAAAAGATTAAATAAAGTACAGTAACATCGTGAAAATGTTGATTGATATTAAAGCAGCAAAGCATTTCATAAGTTTTATTACTACAAAACAAAGAAAATAGCTACTAGTTAACTTAATTAATTAAGACCAACAACCTTACATTAACTTGATACCAGAATAATAGAGCTGACCTGCTAAGTAATCAGTATTAATAGTCAAATATGAACTTGATAAGTAGAAGTGGTTATTAACAGGAAGTCATCATGGGTTTATTATATTCTGCGTTTGTTCACATCTATCGGCAAGTCATATCTTGAATCTTCAGAAGGATAAATAAATTAAGGATTAGGAGATCGATCAATAGGAAGAAACCACATGATATTATTTATTGTTCTAGTTTTGTAGGAAGACTGGTTGGTCGCAGGGAAAGTGACTTCGTACTCATGCCTTGAGGTAGATATTTGAATTACTGACAACAATGGTTACTGATGACTAATGGGAAACTCAAGATCACATGTTTTTCACATCATCAAGTGCGTGTGTTTATACAGTGGACAAACTAATGCTACCTTTTTCTTAGGAATTATGCATGATTACTGACAATCAAAGTACAATAATTCATAAATAACAGTGATCGATTATAATAAGACTAAAATCTAGTGGTAATAAATTAATATTCCGAAAGTATTATTATTCTATAGAAAATGGAATAAACTGAGTGGTAGAAAATCCCGAGGAAAATCGAAGAACATAATGAGGTTCAATGAGAGTGAAATTCCTAGGATGAGTGAATGTGAGTTTGATGCGAAAGCCATTCGATAAGTAGGTATTTACATAGACTATTTGAACTAAAACTTAGGAATCATAGAAAAATATATTTGGTAGCAACATTCATCCAACGACACTTTTCGTATACTGTTGGGAACGTTAGAGCCCCCAGAACTTACTTGGAAAATGTTTTAAATTCTGTAATTTATTTCTGAAATTTGAATTTCATTCTTTTTGCGCATAAGACGCTTAGTTGACTTTTAGCTTCAGTTCTCATTCGGAAAATCCTTGACTGTCACTGGTTGATGGATTATTTTAGTAAGCTATTTTATGGCTCTCCCAAGGGCGTTTCTATCTTTGTATAAATAAGACTTCTTGTTTTAGTTAGTGGGGCCTTTGAAAATTAGGTTAGAATAGCCAATCGTGTCACAGCATCATTTATCTGCGCTCCGTTTACCGAGGAAGGTGAACTCGTAATTGTTACACGCATATCACTTGATGAGCATATCATATACATTTTGTATCCATCACATTTCTTGAATGGTAAAGTTTGGTGAAAGTAACGTGAGCAATTAATGGATTTTATCATTCATATTTACACTAGATAAGTGTTGTAATGCTTTCTTAGATAATTCCCAGCTAAATCCTATTGCTTAGTATTCTCTGACCACAATACACTGGACAAGTTCCCAAGAATCAAAAACACGGTTGAACAGGAAAAGATTACATTCCAAATAGCAAGGCTAGGTGGAAATAAGAAGCCAAAGGTGATGGCGAAGGCGAAAATAGGTACAACGTTTGTCTATTTATAGCATTTACATGAAAAGCTTCTGGATAGAAATTCACGTGATCGACTGGATTATATTTAACCAATCAGCACGCAGCTAACAATACGAGAATCTTCTACCCTGTTCTCCAAGATTCGATCAGGCGCTAATTGGATAGGTAATTAGCCAATCAGCGCGTAGCAACGTAGTCATGCTTGAATTCCATCTATGTCCCACTAACAATAAGGCACAAGCATATTTTTTAAATCTTAAAGATTGTGTTGGCCTTCTCCCTAAATACAAAATTTCTTTTACATACCACTGATGTCTCTATACAGTACCGAACTATTAGTGGATATATAAATATTTACTTTTGAAACAAACGAAATCAGAAAATAAAGATTCTAGCCCTTTGAAAAAATTTGAACAATTCAACGTGTTTTGAAGTTCATCAACGTGTAACAATGCAACAATTATCAGAACAAAAAAACATACTTTTCTCGACAGATTTACATTCATTGGAATCTGTTAAGATTAAAGATCTGGGTAAACTTTGAATTTTTTGCTTGATTATTGAATCCAAAGGAGGAGCTGATGATTCATGGAAAGACAAAGGTTGTTGGGATAGTTTTTCTGTATAGTTTGATATATGTCCATTCAGTTGGACAGCGGATGATTTTAAAGATAAACGTAAAGCATTATCTAAATTATAGGAGACCAATTTGGAAGTGCATATCGATGATGATGATGATGATGAACCGGATTTCATGAAATTAGTTGTAGAACCATAATTACTATTTGATGATGATGATGATGATTGATGATTAAATCCTAACACTGAACCATCAGAATTACAATCGAAATGTTGGAAATTCTGTGTAACAGGTTTAGGTAAATGATATGAAACATTGGGAACTATGGATGCAGTGGACGACATTGATGTATGAGAAGAGTATGAGATAAATGAAGAAGCGTCAATATTAAAATAAAAATGTAACGTGCATCGTCAATAAGATTACTGCACTGGAAGATTAAAAAGTACCTATAATTAAAAGAAGTATAAGTGTTATATTTTACTTTCATAAAAGTAAGACACGCATTGTTTGATCAATAAAAAAAACAATTGAATTCAAATTCAAATGTTGGACGACAACAAAATACATTGGCACTGTTCTAAATTGGTGCAACACCTCAAATGACTTGGAACGGACTTAAAATGAGAAGAATTGGCTCTTCCTCGCAAAACGCTCTCATATAACCATGTTTAAATAGCTACTTCTAGGGAAGTTGTACTCCGCCTTTTAGTGACGAAGTTGTTTACGGAAATGAAATGCGGTGCACGTACTTTTTGGTGTCTCTCTGAACTGATGGCATTTATATAAGTAAATAAAAAATCACCACAGTGAAGTGACGATGAATTTTAGGAGCCAAAATAATAATAGAATCAATGATTGTGACAAAAACATGGGAAAAAGATGGTTCTAAAAGGGATAAATTTAGGAAATACAAAGTCAGTAAGTCAGCTACAACGTAGAATTCCGTACGTACGTACATCAGTTAAGACGACCAATAGGAAACAACATTTAACATGACATTGACAGTCAGGACGACCAATAAGAAACAACATTGGAGTACGTGACATTGATATCTAGGACGACCATAAAATTGATCAGCAGGAATTAACCAATAGAAATTGACCAATAATTCTCTTTCAGAATATTAGATGACTATCCTAACAATGTCCCATCCACCTCAACTGATCAACATTTACTACGTCAACAAATGATCTGACATCCTAACCGACTAACCTTTCCCAGACACCAGAGTTGCTTACTCAGTAGTCCAAAGATATACGAGCAATGCCTCGAAGCCACTCACTATCGAATGCTAGTAGCCTACCAATATTCTCCATTCCTGCTGGCTATATTTCTTAGACATAATGTAGGATGAAGAGAACTACTGCGCAGTCATAAATTAGGCAGGTTCGCGAAAGTCAGTTGAAAATTCTATTTCCATGACAAGATTTCGTCATACACCAAGTAATCAAGACTAATTACACTCGCAAGATAAATAAGGCAGTCAACATGCTCAACTGCTACACTCGCTATCACTACTGTAGGCACCGATGCAAGTCAAACACGAAACAACACTTTGCATTTCGAGGAGAACCGCATCCTCAACATGCTTCCATTGTTACTTAAGGTGGTTGCAAAACTGCATTTGTCAGCGTTTTCACCAAACACAACTGTATCATATGCATATTCTAAGTCGAAAAGTGATTCTCCCAGTAAGAGTTAAGCTCCAGATGTCAGACGATGAAAGTGTCAACTCTAGAAGCATGTCAATGACAAAGCTGAATTGGAATGGAGTAAGTGGACAACCCTTATCAACACAAACTGAAGTAATCAATTCCGAAGACAGTTTACAATAAGCTGACTCGACCAGTAGTGTTCCAGCAGAGCGCCCATATAAGATTAATGTAGTTGTTTGGTACACCTTTCAATTAAACATTTGTCAATCTAAATGCTAAAACTGGACCAACATCCTTGAAAATCCCAGCCGTTAATTTATCAGGGTCTGGATGCTTTCCCTCGACTCTGACTGCCTACAGTCTTGTCAACTTCATTGACAGCTGGAGGACTTGCATAAAACTGCTATTCAGGTCGACTGGAGAGAGAGAGTAACAGAAGTGTAGCTACAGGTCAGTTGAAATGCACATCAACTCAATCTCCTAGATTGATAATGAATAATGGTCTCATCTTTATCCCAGTTTTGTTACAGTCCGATTTCTAATAACAGTTACCTGAATAAGTTCGTATAGTTGTTCACTGTTACATATCATCACAGACGAGATTCCCTCTCTTGCTTTCGTTGCCCACCACTGATTAACAATATTGCGCAGGCTTCCTTTCAGTCTGTGTTTAAGCTGCCTTCGCTCTTCATTGTGCTCAGACACAGACGAAATGAAGTTATGAGCATCTATCACTTCGGTCGATGCAACTGAAATCCATTGCTCCTACCTAACTGTTTCGTTCGACTTACTGGCAGATATCAATACTGTTTTCAATGCTTTATGGATATCAATCCAAGCTGCTTCAGGGGGGGTATCATTCACATAGAGATCTACCTTTTTACAGCTCCTCTCAAAATATACTCTTCGCTTTGTTATCGTTAAGCACAACAACAAGGGGTTACCTTGCATTGTCTTTCTTATGTCCAATAAGAATCAGACAAACACCTGCTCGTACTAGAGTATAATCTGAATCTACACATGTATTTCACAACGAGCAGAATTCCTCTGTCGAGCCTCTCCATCGGTGACTCATACCAATGTCATATAGTGCAGACCAGCAAGCAATCGATTTCGGAGGGCACCAAAATGTGTCAAAATGTGTTTCTCCTTATCCTTATAGTTTGTGTTTGACAGAAATAGACGGCTGAGTATAGTTGAAGCACACAGTTGCCATTATCTGCTCAACGAGCCTCAACACAAAACAATGCACCCACGTGTCTTTCACCAGCCACTATTAGCATTCTGGAGAGTGTGGCAAAGCTTCAGCTCATCCCACTTGCAATCTGTGACACCATAGGTAGAGAAAACAAAGAGCCAACGGCGAGTGTCCTTATCTTTCAGAGTTCTTACTGTCCCGTTAAGCCGGACAGTCCACAACCGACTATCTACTGCAATCCTGTCCGAGAGCTTATTCTGCTTCCGAACTCAATGCTATACGCATTTCGTAGACGTAGCACATATAGACCGTGCAAGATTCTAAGGTCCTAGTCAAGGAAGATTAGCCTACTTGGCACAAGGTCCATAAATTAGAAGCGTCAACGAGTGGTTTAGAGCGGGGTCTCAAGGGATCAACAATACCATTTCGTGTACCCAAATTGTCAGCATTAGGGGCCCAAAGTAATAGAGTTATAGTAGAAAGATCGTGCAAACAAAGGAGTTATTAAAAAGTGGAGGAAGGATTAAATTGCAACCAAGTTGATGTGTGCTGTTAGGCGGGTGAAGGTGTACGTCACTTTTCGGTGTCCCACACTGTGGAAGAGCAGACATACAACGCAGTACATTGGTTCAGGTTGCCATACCACATCATCACACAGACGCAACTGTCAATTCAAATTCAAGAGTGATAGCGATAGTAGAAGCATTAGCAGTAACGGAGAAGATTAGGGAGCGAAGATATGATTCGAGAAACATAATTCAGTGAGATAAATTTAGAAGGAGAAGAAATACTGTGGAAAATTATTTCCTTTTGAACAAACTGAAAGGGAAGATTGGTTAGCGTTGGTATAATCGACCTGGTAGCATGACCACAGAGCCCAAAAGATCACTGCTTGAGGTCCGTTGAGCATGGCCCTTTCATGGGAGGTTTTTGAGGTGTTAGCTCCGCTTTTCGAAGATTCTCGAGGCAAATAACTTACTGCTATCACATCCTTCTATAGTCAGCAACGCTCCCCCTCAGACCTTAGGTTGCTGCTTTTAGTCTCACGGTCCTGCAGTTGACTCGCCTGGCATGGTAGGACCTAAAGGAACACATTTCAGCCTCTATACCTCGGTTGGGTGATCAAAATAGCAAGCACCATAACCGTGCCAAAGTAGTAGGTACGGTCAGTTACGATGCTCTTTCGCTTCGTACCAATTTATTTCTTTGCCAACTATCATCGAGCAACAAGGTAAGCGGGGATTAGATACGTTAAACACTCCCTGTGAATAAAAATTCAACCTTCTCTGCTAGCAGTGAATCTTAAACTTACCAGTGCTTGCTCAGTTGCGCCACAATATATGAGGAGTGTTATGAAGACAACTAAAAACGTGCAACCTAAAAATACCTTTCTCACCAAGTTTATCTCTGTCATAAAGTATTATATAAAGTGGATTATAGTGTAATAGCCGTTTCATAGTGAGACGGACATCTAGCCCACATCGCTAGTGACGCAAGTTTTCAAAGGTCAAATGACTTGTTTTAAACCCGTGCCGATGATCTGCTAGCCAACGAACTCTGAGACAAGAACGTTAGTGTGAGCAAGGCGGGTAATATCCTTAAGGTTTTGTTAACCAAGCTGACTTACGGGTTTAATCCACAACGAAGTAGAACGAGACACTTGCTTTCTAACCACAGTATCGTCAACACCACTATAGCGTGAGGGTGTAGAGTAGGACTTAGCGGTCAGATGCTTTAATGTTGGGATTTAAGAACGCTTCATTTACTGTGTAAATACCAGCCAAGTGGATGTAGTGGATGTAGTTTGCCGAACAATACATGAGATCGAACCTCGTTAACTGGCTTGCAGAGTTCATGTAACTAACTGGTCAGTAATGTACTGTACGATTCCAGGAAACGCTAAGCAAACGAGTGTATCCAGTTAGGACCCGATATGAATGCGCAACATTAAGATGAGACACTCATCAATTTGGAAACGAAACGAGAATGAATATAAATAAGTGTTTTGTGGTAGGTTTTGGAACGCTATCCGTCCGACCGACTACTGCCACTTATCCTCATGACGAGTCAACACAGGAATCCCACTTTGCTCTAAAGACTATTTGCTGTATGAACACGTGCAACATAAGGAATAACTCGATGCACTAGTTCTACAAATCATTGTCACGGTGCTAAAGCTGAGGAGAAAATAGTATTAGCTATAGCAGTAGGGAACTGAAAAGAGCGTTGAAAACAAGCACAGAAGGTAGACATACACCGTTCAAGACTTGAAGGTCGACAAACGATCAGTCAGCTGAAGATGACTGAGCGGAAACGAGGGAAACCATATAAAAAGTGTAACGATAAAAGTGATGAATCATGATGCGGAATTGGTGTGAAAGGGACGATGTGAACACGTGAGGATAAGTAACCCATAGCAAAAAGGTCCTGAACAGCGTAATTGGAGGGTCGAGCAGTACTTAAGCACATCAAAAACGTTCGAACTAAGTATTTTACTATAGACATTCACGAAAGAACAAGAATCGAGTGCAAAGAAATCAAGTGGTTGACACTAGATCGTGAAAAAGATATTGGATATTGGAAGCGTTAACAAACGAAATTCCCTAACTCACGTTGCAGGCTATTTTTTCGTGGATTCAAGACCTACACTAATAAAAATAATGAAGAAATATCTATTTAATGGTGCGTATAAACATATAAATGACAGGAGAACGATTATTAATAGTACTAACAGAGTTCAAGCAGCATTTAACCAATTTGGACCGAGTCGTTTTCAAATCAAGTAAGATGGCAGAAAGTGTTACCAAATAAGTATAGTTTTGAGTATAGGAAAAGCCCTATCATGAGACTTAAACAGAAGCGAATAATCTAAACTGTTAAGAGTAAAACCAACCTCGTGTACTGCTTCACGTCAAAACTCCGAAAAGCCGCGCCCAGACCCGAAACCCTATAGCAACCTCCATTACATTATCGATGTCCAATATTGTATGTACGAGCCAGTAGAAAATGTTAAGGGTTTTCTTTTTTCTGAAATGTGTTTTCGAATTTCATAATGACATGATAAAATTCGTTCAATCACCTTGTTATAACAACGTAGGTGGGTTCAACAGGCTACTTTCGTCTCTATAGGAAGTTAAGCTTGAAGAAAACGCTCTCCATAGCACCTTTCTAGTTAAGAATAACAAACTCCATTCAAAACAGATTTCAGGAATGAATGGGGTTGAAGGCATAGTTGAAGAATTGTTATGATTTCGAGACGTGAGTGCTCTAATCTCTCTAGGTGATACGAGAGAATGCATAACTCAGCAGCGATTTGGAGATGTTGCGTGACCAAGTGCGTTTAGCTAGATGGTGTCCACTAAAAGTTATGTGGTCGACTCGAAAACAGCTGAACTATTTAGTTTCGTTATTTGCTTACCGCTATTAGCTAGAACATGACTAACTGAATTAAACTGTTTTCACTTGTCGCCTGTTAAATACCCAGTGTGTTAATTAGCCATGAGTACTGCATTTTTCTATTCTGAGTCATTTAAAAAACCACAATAAAGCTGCTTGAACATCTTAAGCGAATATTCGGCTCTGACACCTGATTTCTGCAGATCGAAACTAACGCAGATAGCTTGGCTAACTGTAATTGATCTTTAAGACTGAACGGATAATATCGTGGCGTCAAAAATTCCGGAAGTGTGTAGTTCTAAGGACTTTTAACTTTGATGTTGACTTTGTCAATCGGTATTAGAGACATGAAGCAAAGCGTTTAGTTCGGTTTAAAATGATTCACATTTATAAGCACTAGTTTCCATGAAAATTATCCATACACACAGACTAATAACTCATCCTCTTGAAAATAAAGCTATATTAAAGCCACCTGTGTGCATTTTCTATTGATTATTTCAGAAAGACATCATTTATCTGTGTGCCATTTTCTAGTTGGTGCGATGCAGTAAAATGAGGATGAGCAACACGAGATGGATGGTCTTCAACCTCACTCACATTCGAACCTCAAAATCGTGTTTGATTTAGTTTGAAATGCCCTGAAGTGTTTTTTCGTCTCTATTTTCAGTAATTAACCGAAATTTTAAGTCACTAATAGTAGTCGTAGCGGAATAGCACGAATTTGTAAATTCGCTTTAGCTGATTACAGTTTGGAAACAATAGTAAAACCATCAAGAAAAAGCAGGTGCATATGATCGATGTCGGAACAGCCTTACGTAAAATTGGATTCGAAACATGGGTTAAAGTTGATAGAAATGATTCTTGTATGAGATTGAAAGGAATTGTTTATGAGTTTGGTTATTCGTATGTCAACTATTGGGATATGCTAAAACAAAAATGAAGAGCATGGGAATTAAATCTTAGAAATTACAGAGTAATGTCACAGATCACGTTAAACATAATCGATTGACTTGCTGATTTAAAATTAGACAAGAAATAATAACAGAGTCTGGGATTCGATTTGTGAATGGACCTTTACGTTGCGAAACCTTGGAGCAAAGATTATCCAGATTAGGCATTATTCATTACTGAGATTTTTGGGAACGAACCAAAGTGAGAAATACTTTCAAAGCATTTGTTTTAAAAGACTATGATAAATTCAAAGTGTTTGTTTCGTTACCTCACCATCATGATCACTGCCAAGAAAACGACAAAGAGTTGTAGTGTTCAAAAAATGAATTAATACTATTTTGTGAAGATAACCCCCGACCGTAGAATTCCCTATCAGCTCCATCCTTCTCTTCCTAAAGTTATCTCACTGAACAATACTTCTTGAATAATATCTTCGACCCCTTATATTCTCCATTACTGCTTATTCTTCTACTGTCTCCACCACTAAGGGAACCGAACTGACAGTGGCGTCTCTGTGCTTATCCCGACCGTAGCCGCTACCTTGACGCGGCGGTCGGGCTAGCTTATCGTAATCACCCAACCGAACTATATCGGCTGCAACATATTTTCATGTAGGTTCTATCATGCCAGGCCTGTCGATTGGAGAGCGATGAGACTAAAAGCAGCTACTCAATGTCTGAGGACGGAGTCGTACCGCTAACTGCAGAGGGGTGTGACAGCAGTAAGGTGCTTTACTCGGACAACCAGCATCTGCAGCGATGCTGCCTTCTCACAAGGAAGGAAGGGTTAGAAAATGTCGACCCTAAAAATGTCACACCTCACCGTACCTGACGGATTTCCGTCCCGAGCGGTAAGGCCTTTAAAACAACAACGAAGCTAACACTCATAAAACATCTCATAAAATGGCCTCAAGCAGTTGTCCCTTCTGCTCTGCGGTCATGCTCCCTGATCTCTAAGACCGAAAGGTTGCTCAAAAACAACCACGGTGCGGGTAGCCTGGAAGTAACATCCGCCCTCATACCCTAGACCGAAATGTTCACAATCAAACCCTTTCCACACCTCTTAATAACTCTCTTATCTCCTCGACCAACCCTTCTTTCGATCGCTTATCACCTCACGCCACTGAAGCAAATGGTATGAGCTCACGAAACATTACTCCTGGTCTCTTGAAACCCCGTACTAATTAAGATTTTGGAACTTTTAATGTCTGGACACTTTGCCAAATAGGGCAACAGGTTTCATTTGCTAGAACTCTGGAATACCAGGTGATTGAAACGCGTATATAAGGTCCGAGTAACATCATCAATTTGATCTCATCTAGTGCAGATAGAGGGACAACAAGGCTCAGGCTTCGTGTTTCTGGAAGCATTGATGCCGCTTCTTTCAGCATCGCCGGCGTAGATATAGTTTTAAATCCTAGGGCAGAACTAGCTCTCTTGGACTGGATCCCGACTGACAGTTGCCTGTGCACTGTCCAACTAAACGGGAGGTATGGACTCGAAACGATCGAGACATTCGCCGTTGCCTCATCATCTTATCGGCATTCGTGCAGAATCCATTTAGGAAGGCTTTGTTTAGGAGAATCCTTCCTTGTATACATTTGCAATATGTCCTAATTGATTCTTCATTTTGGTAATCTGTTGAGTTTCATTTTGGGATGATAATATTTGTAAATGTTATTTCGACAGTGGCCGTCCCAATTGGTTCCAATAGAAGCACTCCTGTACGCTTTTCCTAGTCCCGGGTCCCAACTTATTCAAAAAGGACAAAATTCTAGGAGAAAACGTCTCTTTATTAGTTAGAAAATGGAAATACAAAGCCTTACGGAAATTGTACTTCTTCCAGGGTTAAGTTACTCCGCAGAGTATCCGACACAATAACCAATAAGTGACACTAAGTCCAGCAG